TGTGCCACATGCACACACTTTTTCTGACAGATTTCTTCTCTTTTTTTTCCCCATTCAGCCCACAGGCTGCATACCAAAAGAAAAAAAAGAAGAACATAGCATACAGTTGTGACCAAAATTATTCAACCCCCACTGAAATTGAGTGTTTTGGCCAGTTTGACATTGCTTTTGATCATTCAGTCATCTTGCTTACATTTACATTAAAGAGGCACTTGTAGGTCAGACAAATATAACATAAAGTTATAATGAAATAACCACAATGTCTTTTCTGTGCTCACAGCATTATCAGTTTTATTCAACCCAACGTGACATTCAATCTTAGTATTAGTACAGCATCCTTTTACAGTTATAACAGCTTTTAAACGTGAAGCATAGCTTGAACACAAGTGTGTCTTGCAGCGATATACGGGTATCTTCGCCCATTCTTCATGGGCAAAGGCCTCCAGTTCAGTCACATTCTTAGGCTTGCGCACTGCAACTGCTTTCTTTAAGTCCCACAAGAGGTTCTTCAATCGGATTTAAGTCTGGTGACTGCGATGGCCACTCCAAAATGTTCCAGCCTTTCCTCTGCAACCATGCTCTAGTGGACTTGGAGGTTGCTTGGGATCATTTGTCCTGTTGAAAGGTCCAACAGTCTCCCAAGCCTCAGGTGTGTGACGGACTGCATCACGTTTCCATCCAATATCTCCTGGTTACTGAAGAGAATTCATGGTATACCTTGCACACGAACTGAAGCTTCCCTGTTCTTTGTCCTGCAGAAGCAAAACAGCCCATAATCGCATGATTGACCCTCCACCTGTTATGCTTCACAGTAGGCATAGGTGTTCTTTTCATCATAGGCCTTGTTCTTCCTCCTCCCAAACATAGCGTTGATCATGGGCCCAAACAGTTCTAATTTTGTTTCATCAGTCCACAGAACACTATCCCAACAAACTTTTGTGGTTTGTCCACATGGACTTTTGGCATACTGCAGTCGACTCGTCTTATTCTTTGGAGGACAGCTAAAGGGGGTACGCCTGGGAGTTCTGGCACGGAGGCCTTTCATTACGCAGTGAGGTTTATTGTTCTGGGCTGAAAAAACTTCTGTACCAACATCTGACAAATCTTTTTCTCAGTTCCTCCAGCAGTCACACGGGGACTTCTCTCCACTCTACGCATTCAGGTAGCGCACAGCAGTCGAAGTCAGCATCTTCTTTCTGCCGACGACCAGTAGCGTTTCAACTAGTGCCTTTGCCTTGAATTTGGAATGATGCTTTCACTAAGGTGTCTCTTGGTATGTTTTACATCTTTGCAATCTTCTTATAGCCATTGCCCTTCCTGTGTGAAGAGAAATTTCTTCTCTTTTTTCCTGGACCATTCTCTTGCCCTTCCTCCATGTTTGTAACCACACCAGTAAAATGTAAAGGAGTGAGTTAATTATTTTAAAGCGGAGCTGACCATTCTCTTGCCTATCAACAGTAAATGTCATTTACAAGCTGCCTAATTGGTGCATTATTATGTTGATTGTGCTCGGTGACATCACATGGTGTTTTCATACCTGATGGAAAGCACCTGTATGAACTATGTTCTTCAGAGTGGTAGTCTTTAAGGGGTTTTGAATTAATTGTGGCAATGAAGAAACTTCCACAATAAGAACCATTTTACTACTGTATTACATAAACAATTGAATGTCATTTTAGTTGCATTTGGGTAGTTACAACGTCCTTGTAGGATTTGATTCTGGAATACAATTCCAAATGTACACTATAGTCCTAAACCCTTTACAGGCATTGGGGGGTTTTGAATAATTTTGGTCACTACTGTATAATACCCTAACAAGGACCAGAACGTACTGGTACATCACTGGACTTTGAATGGTTATATACCAGGATGATGCCTACAGCTGCAGGCATCATTCCTGGTATAATTTTTTTTTCAGCCGGAGATTGGCTTTCATATAAAAGCAATCCTAGTGGCTAATTACACTGTTCAACAGGTAAAAAGTTTTGGGCATAAAATTAGCTAATCTTACATAATTTTGGGGTGCTGAAAACAAAAATGACCCTAAAAAATGTTGATTGGCTCTAGTTTTCCATGATATATTCACCCATCTAATGACGTAAGCCATTCAAAATTATGATGCAACTTCAGCTGCATATTGCGCAATTGATACTGGTGACCAATAGAAAATTGCATGTATACTGAGATGATGCAATATTAGCCTTTAATTGCATCACTTCACTGCATAAAAGCTGCAGTATCTGTAGCTGATTGTAGTTCGACAGCGTCTTTACATTTCGTTTTATGCTTATATAGGCTACTCAGTAATGCCTCGAACTTGTGTGAATAAAGCAGATAATTTCTGCTATATCTGCGGTGAAATAACTTTTATCTCACAAAAAAGGAGGATAACAGGAATGATTAAGAAAGCCTACAACTTGTATTTTGGCTGCAAGATAGGAGACCAGGACAAGAGCTGGGCACCACATATATGCTGCAATTCTTGTGGGACGGCACTGGAGCAATGGTTGAATGGAAAAAAAAAGGCATCTATGCCTTTCGCTGTGCCAATGATTTGGAGAGAGCCAACAGATCATGTTAGTAATGAGTGCACATGTGATCAAATACCACCAAATAAAAGCTCTATTACATAATTTCTCCAACCTTCTTTAATGCCCCAGTGAGCCATTACCCCGATTGGCCAAAACTACAACGTCTTTTGTTAACAACTTCTAACCACTTGTTTTTATCAGAAATGTAATCACATTGGTACTGTGACCTTTATTCCTTATGATTTGTTGTCACTACAATGTTCAATGTACATTGGTAATGTCCCCTTGTCCTTGTGTTTTACTGTTAATAAAATGTTTGAACAAGAAAAACATAATTATGAAAAAAAAAAATCTAATTTCTTCATAAAATTAGGCCACAATGTATTCTGCTACCCATTTTTGGTAAAAAAAAATTCCAATAAGTGTATATTGATTGGTTTGTGCAAAATTTATAGTGTCTACAACTGGTGGTATACACACTGTTATTTTATTTTTTTTTCATACTAGTAATGGCGGCGAACAGCAACTTATAGTGGGACTGCAATATTGACAGTCTGACACTAACTGAGACTGACACTTTCTGGGAACCAGTGACACTAATACAGTGACCCGTGCTAAAAATATGCACTAACACTGTACTAATGACACTGGTTGGAAAGGGGTTAAACATCTAGGGTGATCAAAGGGTTAATTTTGTGCCTAGCCAGTGTTTTTGTGTGTACAGTGTGCTGTTTTTACTAGGTAATCTGCTAGATTTTATTCCCTGAATAAAATCTAGCAGATCACTGCTGACAGAACACAGCTCTGTCATGTTTACATAGGCAGAGCCCTGTTCTGTCAGTCTCCTCCTTGATCAAAAGGTGCCAGCACTCATCCACCTGTTGATCAGCTTCTATTGTGCCCAATCATAGCAGAAGCTGCACTCCGGTGGCAGGTGCATGCCCCCAGTGGCAGAAATTCAAAATCACATTTATATATGTTATTTTGCACAGAACATCTGCCTTTATCAGCAAATCTGCTATTGGGGGGGGGGGGGGGGGGACTGAAAATGGATAATAGTAAAGTCATATTAATAAATATCCTGTGGTTCTGCTTATAATACACCAAAATAATGTCACAGTATCATTTACAACACTAACTAATACTTCCTTTTCAGCCACTGGAAAGAAATTAATGTATGTTTTTAAACTGCTAAGACAGACTTCAGCAATGCAGTCACAAACTGTGGCCTGCCTGGTTGGAATAAAAAAAAAAAAAAAAAAACAACATATTTAACAGAATTTTCTCTCATTTGGATCTCAATATTCTTTGCTGCATTTTTAACGTATACAGTGTGTCACTTTTGTATTTAATCCTACATATCATCCTAGAAATTTACATGTGAAACAGATAAGGCATATGATTTATTGTTCCCAGAAAAGTTATGAACTCTACCATACTACATCCTGGGTCACATTCCTAAAGATTGGAAAACTTCATGGCCTACCATTTCTAGCTTTATGAGATGTTTAGCCATTTTGTGAATAATTAAAATGCAACCGTACCTGGAATAAAAAACTTTCCCAATGAAAATGGCTGTTTCCAAAAGAACAGCAATGTCAGAATGTTTTGCAACTCTTATGGCAAAATCCTATCTGTCCTACATGGCAACAACAATTTTGCTTCCCAAGAACAAGTAAAAAATACCTTCTGGGTCCAGTCCTGTTTATGTTCATCCTCACAAAAGTTTCCACTTTCTCCAACACCTACATATCATTTACTAGTATATACCAGGGGCGGACTGACCATTTGGAAACTTGAGCACTGCCCGAGGGCCTGGGGTCAGTAGGGGGCCCCATGAGATGCCCCTGGTACCTTTTTCATAGGCTTTTTTGAGTTTGGGCAAGGACACAGGGGCCCCATGATCCCCTATTGCCTGGGGGCCCCATGAGTTGTCAGTCTGCCCCTGCTATATACAGAACGGTATTATTTGATTTCACCTTAAGCAGTATAGGTGAAAAAAGCTGGCTGTTTATATCATTCATGGCAAGGAGATGATGGTCCATAAATAGTCATCTAATATATGTATCATTTACATAGAAAATGTCAAGGCATTTCACTATTTTAATTCCCTCAGTATACAGATTTAATGCTTTGTGTTTGTTAGCAGACCTCCTTGTAGCATTTGACTTTGCTTATGTCAGCCAAATCAGAATAATGAGACAAGAATCCAAAAGTATTTTTATCAGAAGTTATCTTACCATGACTTATACTGCATGATCTGCCATACAATTATATGAGAACCATGCATGCCCTGTGTCAGTTTGACTCCTTGCAAGGTTCTGTTATGTCTGCCAATTAATAGTAAGCAACAACCAGATGAGCAGTTTGGAAATGCTAAAGGATGAGATCTGGGTCAAGAGCCAATTTGTATTAAAGCAGAACTATACTCACCTGTTCTTCAGTGCTACTATGTCCAGAGCCCCACATTGGCCACTGATATCTTCAGCCTGGCCAGGATGATGTTTTTTTTGGCCAGGCCAGGATGATGTCACTTTTACATGCACAGAAGTTCAGTCATCCTGGCATTGTAAAAATTCTTACATTGAACCAGGGGCAGACTGACCATTTGGAAACTCGGACACTGCCCGAGGGCCCAGGGTCAGTAGGGGGCACCATGAGATGCCCCTGGTACCTTTTTCATAGGCTTTTTTGAGTTTGGGCAAGGACACAGGGGGTCCCATGATCCCCTATTGCCCGGGGGCCCCATAAGTAGTCAGTCCGCCCCTGCATTGAACTGTGCATGCAGTGCGGATAGGCAGGTAAGTAACTTAAATTCAGAAAAGACACAGAAAGTGTCTGCATTCAAAAATTTGCCTGTTTACATTTTATTTAAGTAAAGTTTCACTTTAAGTGAAAAAGCTCTTTAGGCACCTTTTATAGGATAGATTAGGTTCAATGACAGTGGCATATATATTATTTTACTCTTGGGTGAGTAAATTTATCCTAGCTATGAAGCATACTAAATATAGGAAAAAAATAATATATATTCACAAATATAAGTCTGGAAAGCATTAGTAATTGTTTTCTGCACCTGCCAACAGTCAGGGTATAATTTATCTATTGAAATTGTTTTTCTAACCATGTATCCATGGCTTCTGTAAAGGACTAAACCGATGAAAACGGTATTGCAATCATTTAAGTATATATAAATATAATGCATTATAAATCCTGCAGCTTGCCCTATTAGTTTAAAATGAAAGGCAGGGTTAACAAAGGGAAGCTTAATGAGCTCTCCACCTACAACTATTAATTTAAAACCTTTCCCCCATCAAAATCTCTCCCTGTCTGTTTAACAATTGTGCTTGTCAATCAGTAAAGACTGCAGAAAATTCAGATAGAGAAGGAAAAGAAAATGAAGGATGCAACTTCACAGCGGTGGATCTTAAGAAAGAACTTCTGAAGTAAATATAAAATGAGTATGGTAATTGCAATTAGACATGGAAACAATGTTGAGCTGTTCCAAAGCAATCTCCATAATATCTAGCTTACCGACAAAACAGTTAAATCAGTAACAGATTTTCTGATCTAGTGTGAGTGCTCACACTAACCAAAGTCCTTTACTAAACACACATGTACATAAATATTGAAAGACATCTTCACTACTTAAGAACACACTAACATTACATCCCTGCATATTTCATGTTCAGGTATGTTTGTAGCAGACAAGGGGAATCCGGTTATCTGAGGTGTGACCTTGACAGGTGACTGTAACCAGACAGCCATTATCTGTCATATAATAGAGAACTTTTACACATTTTGCATTTTTTTTTTTTTTTTTGCATTTTTTTTTACCCAGCAGCATTTGTCAGTGTGTTGGGGTATACTGTATAGGGAGAGCTGATAGTGTGCACTTATTGAGAGATAGTTGAGCTACGCTCAGTGCTGTATTGTACTGAATTACTGTGAATTGCAGTATGGTAGGCTGTATATATATATATATATATATATATATATATATATATATATCATACAGTCATGGCCGAAATTGTTGGCACCCTTGATATTTTTCCTGAAAATCAAGTATTTCACACAAAAAAGGTATTGCATTAACACATGTTTTGCTATACACATGTTTATTCCCTTTGTATGTATTGGAACAAATATAAAACAGAGGCAGAAAAGCAAATATGACATAATGTCACACAAAAACCCCAAAAAATGGGCTGGACAAAAGTATTGGCACCCTTAACTTAATATTTGGTTGCACACCCTTTGGAAAACATAACTGAAATCAGTCGCTTCCTATAACCATCAATAAGCTTCTGACACCTCTCACCCGGAATTTTGGACCACTCTTCCTTTGCAAACAGCTCCAGGTCTCTCTTATTGGAAGGACACCTTTTCCCAACAGCAATTTTAAGATCTCTCCACAGGTGTTCAATGGGATTTAGATCTGGGCTCATTGCTGGCCACTTCAGAACTCTCCAGCGCTTCTTTGCCATCCATTTCTGAGTGCTTTTTGACGTATGTTTGGGGTCATTGTCCTGCTGGAAGACCCAGGATCTTGGACGCAAACCCAGCTTTCTGACACTGGGCCCTACAGTGCGACCCAAAATCCTTTGGTAATCCTCAGATTTCATGATGCCTTGCACACAGTCAAGGCACCCAGTGCCAGAGGCAGCAAAAACAACCCCAAAACATCATTGAACCTCCACCATATTTTACCGTAGGTACTGTGTTTTGTTCTTTGTAGGCCTCATTCCGTTTTCGGTAAACAGTAGAATGATGTGCTTTACCGAAAAGCTCTATCTTGGTCTCATCTGTCCACAAGACGTTTTCCCAGAAGGCTTTTGGCTTACTCAAGTACATTTTGGCAAACTGTAGTCTTGCTTTTTTATGTCTCTGTGTCAGCAGTGGGGTCCTCCTGGGTCTCCTGCCATAGCGTTTCATTTCATTTAAATGTCGACGGATAGTTCGCGCTGACACTGATGCTCCCTGAGCCTGCAGGACAGCTTGAATGTCTTTGGAACATGTTTGGGGCTGCTTATCCACCATCCGGACTATTCTGCGTTGCAATCTTTCATCAATTTTCCTCATCCGTCCACGACCAGGGAGATTAGCTACAGTGCCATGGGTTGCAAACTTCTTGATAATGTTGCGCACTGTGGACAAAGGCAAATCTAGTTCTCTGGAGATGGACTTGTAACCTTGAGATTGTTGATATTTTGCCACAATTTTGGTTCTCAGGTCCTCAGACAGTTCTCGTCTCCTCTTTCTGTTGTCCATGCTTAGTGTGGCACAGACAGACACACAATGCAAAGGTTAAGTGAACGTCTCTCCTTTTTATCTGCTTTCAGGTGTGATTTCTATATTGCCCACACCTGTTACTTGCCCCAGGTGAGTTTACAGGAGCATCACATGCTTGTAACATTCTTATTTATCCGCAGTTGTGAAAGGGTGCCAATACTTTTGTCCAGCCCATTTTTGGAGGTTTGTGTGACATTATGTCGAATTTGCTTTCTTTCCTCCCTTTTTTTGTTTTGTCCCAATACACACAAAGGGAATAAACATGTGTATAGCAAAACATGTGTTAATGCAATACGTTTCGTGAGAAATACATGATTTCCTGGAGAAATATCAAGGGTGCCAACAATTTCGGCCATGACTGTATATATTTATTATATATATATATACCAGGGGTGGCCTGACAACTCATGGGGCCCCCGGGCAATAGGGAATCATGGGGCCCCTGTGTCCTTGCCCAAAACTCAAAAAAGCCTATGAAAAAGGTACCAGGCATCTTATGGGGCCCCCTACTGACCAAAGTTTCTCGAGTTTCCAAATGGTCAGTCCGCCCCTGATATATACACATACATACACACACACACACACACACACACCCACACACCCTATATTATATATAGACCTGATCATCCTTTTTAGAACTAACGTTTTTTGTGTCAACTACAACTTCACTTGCTGTTTGATGTTATGAGGTTTTATTTTTTTTTTCAGGTCTGTAAAAAAAATAGGGGTTGGAGTTCAGTGTTCTAGGATTTATTTTTTATTTTAGTGGTAGCAGCTTGAACTTGGGATTGATACCAGTAAAGCTAACCTTTGTTTTCAGAACACCACTGTATACAGTTGTGTGGTAAAGTTTTGTCCAACAAATTACCATATCTTTAGTGCCCCAAAGGACCACATCCTTATTCCCTTTATTGCCATAGTTACAGCTCACTGCTATCCACAGGGCAAGTTCCCTAAACTCTGCTTTGTGGGTCTTTTCAACCTCACATAGAAACCAATCAGCTTTCATTTTTTTTTTGCCAAAGCTTAATTGAACAATCTGAAGTCAGAAGCTGATTGGCTACAATGCACAGCTGTAAAATATTTTGCACTCTCCAGTTTAGTAAATCAACCCCATAGTTTGGTGGGAGCAATACCTCAATGATACTGGTAATAAGCAAAAGGCTCAAACTCTCTCTCCTCATTTCTTATTTTGCACCTTTTTTCCTTCCACAAGATTCTCTATTTGCACCACCAGCATGTGGAAATTAATGCCTCTACAGTATGTCCCTGGACTACATTGTCAGTGGCAGGATCCTAATGACCACACAAATGTGGTCCAGCAAGCATGGACATAAAAGTTATATCTCCTTAATTGCACAATGGATCCCTTTTCTGGCAGTTGGGAAAGGTGTGGAGAGAAGGGAAAACTACTAGAGGTGGTAGTGCCACTCTGTGTCTTGCATGTTGGTGTAGGAGACAGTAAAGTCACCCCACCCCATCCCCCTCAATATCCTCCTTCTCTGACTCCATAGAACCCCCAGTTCTCTCTAAGCAACTCATAGCCTATTCAAAGGCTGTTGCTTTACTACTGCTTGTATGCCTGGGGAACAAGAACCATACTAAGCCATAGATTTTTACAGCTTCATGTGCAGGCTAGGAGGTGGCTGACTTTATGCTATCCTGTACCATGCAAGACATGTGTGTCAATATCACCAACCTGCTTTCAAGCTCAGTGTGTTCCAGCATGAGAAGAACAGAGCATGTGCATGGTTCTGGGAATAAGGTCAATACAGACATTATTATTATACAGTGTTTATATAGCGCTAAAGGGTTTGCTCATAGCTGTACAATAGCAAGGGGGACAGAACATGAGACAATACAGTACAATACAATACACGAGGGGTTCAAGGGCCCTGGTCTCTCGAGCTTACAATCTAGGAGGGAGGGGATAGTGGTACAGGAGGAAGTGGCTGTGGGGGATGGAGTGGTAGGAGGAGATCGGTTGCTAGGTGAGGGTGGGGTAGGCTTCCCTGAAGAGATGGGTTTTCAGGGTGCGCCTGAAGGTGAGGAGGGTAGGTGACAGTCTGATGGATTGGGGAAGGGAGTTCCAGAGGATGGGGGAAGTCCTGGAGAAGTCCTGCAGTCGGGCATAGGAGGAGGAGACCAGGTAGCTGGGAGTAGGAGGTCCTGTGAGGAGCGAAGGGCACAGGTAGGGTGGTATTTGGGTATCAGGTCAGTGAGGTAGTGTGGGGCAGCATTGTGAATGGCTTTGTATGTCAGAGTTAGTAATTTGAATTTAATGCGATGGGCAATCGGGAGCCGGTGAAGGGATTGGCAGAGGGGGGGGTGGCAGATGTGGAGCGGTTGGTGAGGTGGATGAGTCTAGCCGCTGAGTTCAGGATAGACGAGTGAGGATAGCATGTGTTGGGTAGGCCAGTGAGAAGGGAGTTGCAGTAGTCCAGGCATGAGATAATGAGGGAGTGTACGAGTTGTTTAGTAGTGTCTGGGGTGAGGAACGTACGTATCTTGGAGATGTTGCGGAGGTGGAGCCTGCATGACTTTGATAGTGATTGGACATGAGATTGGAAGGAAAGGTTTGAGTCCAGGGTGACACCCAGGACTTTGGCGTGTGGGGTGGGATTGATGGTGGCGTTGCTAGTCATGATGGAAAGGATGGGGGAGTGGGGCGCGGGCTGGGGGGAAAACTAGGAGCTCGGTTTTGGACAGGTTTAACTTGAGGAAATGGAGCGACATCCAGTCTGATGTGTCGTTCAGGAGGTGGGCGATGCGGGCAGGGAGTGAGGGGGTGAGTTGAGGGGCGGAGAGGTAAATTTGTGTGTCGTCGGCATAGAGGTGATAGTTGAAGCCATGGGAATATATCAGTTTGCCAAGGGAGGAGGTGTAGATAGAGAAGAGGAGGGGTCCCGAGGACAGAGCCTTGGGGGACACCGACAGAGAGGGGGAGAGAGGGGGAGGGCAGCGTTATAGGTAACGCTGAAGGAGCCTTGGGATAGGTAGGAGGAGAACCAGAAGAGAGCAGCGTCCCTGATGCCAAAGGAGTGCAGCTTAGAAAGGAGGAGGGGGTGGTCGACTGTGTCGAAGGCCGCGGAGAGGTTGAGGAGCCTGACCTGACCTCTACTGCTGCCTTCTTGTGTATGGCCTGGTTTGACTTTGACTGGTCTCTGAATTCTTGTCTGCCTTTTGTGACATTGGCCTGTGTATTGGACTCTGCATCTTGCCTTCTGATTCAGTACTTTGCTGCTCCACAGTTAACTGACCACAGACAGTATCCTGAAACTTCCTCTGCCTTATGTTTCTGTATCTCACTGTCCAGCTGTTTATAACCTTGGCCTGTATTCTGCTTTCTGATTTGCTACCTCACTGCCCAGCTACAGATGACCTTAGGCTTGTTTCCTGGCTTCCTTTCTGTTGCTGATTGGGTGCTACTGTGTTCTTCCATTTGACCCTTACTTGGTGGTTCACAGTCCTCTTTCTCTCACATTTGACAACCGCCACTTCCTGTACCATTGGCTCAGTTGTTTACTGGTTAGGTACCCTGGCTTCAACAATGTCTTGAAGCAGGCCAGAGTGTGAAACCCCTTTAGGTTGATGGCACAATCCCTCTTGTGTTCCTGCAGGAGCACACACTGCATGCCATGATATACCAAGCACTGGAGGCGTAGCAACAGGAAGAAGAGGAAGAGAACTATCTTCTGTCTCAGACCAAGTAAGATACCTTTGCCCACAGCATCCATCCTTGTAAGAAGTGATAACCACATGAACTATTGGGTGTCCAGGCTCATCTACTGACTGAGCTAGCACATTATGTGCTAGAGCTTTTGGCTGTGCTGTGGTAGAGGGAGGTTTTCAGAGAGGGTTTTCAGGACAGTAGTTATTTACTGGGAGAATCATTCACCTGTTCCCTAACACTATGGATAGGGTCACCTTATAAAAATGAACCAGTTGTAGAATCTGATGCTACCAACTATATTTTTTGCCATACAGAAACCTCCCCCCCCCAAAAAAAAAAAGCTCCTTTCACATCTGCTGGCCTGCCACCATTATCTACATCTGCCACTTCTGCTGGCTTGACACCATTACCATCTTCTTCTACTTTTCCTGGCTTGCAACCATTACTGACTCCTGCTACCTCTGCTGTCCTGACACCATTACCAGTTTGTGTCACTTTTGCTGGCATGCCACCATTACCAGTTTCTGACACCTTTTCTGGCCTGCCACCATTGCCAGCTCCTGACACCTTTTCTGGCCTGCCACTGTTACCAGCTCCTGACACTTCTGCTCGCTTACCACCATTACCAGCTCCTGTGACCTTTGCTGGCGTGTCACTACTATCAGTTCCTGCCACCTTTGCTGGACATCCACCATTACTGGATCCTGTCACCTCTGCTGGCCTGTCAACATTACAAGCTTCTGCCACCGCTTCTGGTTTGCCACTATAACCACATCTGCTTACCATTGACATCTCCTGCCATCTTTACTGGTTTGCCACTATTATTATTTCCTACTACCTTTGCTAGCCTTCCACCATTACTGGTTCCTGATACTTATGCTGGCCTGTCAACAAGCTTCTTTCAACTCTGCTGTTTTTCCACTATTACCACCTCTAGCCACCTCTGATGGCCTGCCACTGATAATGGCTGTTGTCACTTCTGCTGGCCCACCACCATTACCAGCTCCTGCCATCTCTACTGGACTGCCACTGTTATCAGTTATCAACTCCTGCAGACTCTGCTGGCCTTTCATCATTACTAACTCCACTTTTGCCACCATTGCTGGCCTTCCAAAATTACCAGCTCATGCCACCATAGCAATTCTATCCATTTCAACTTGCTTACCACTATTACCAGTTTCTATCACCTCTCTTGGCCTGCTGCTCTATCACCAACTAATAACACCTTCATTTGGCTTGACCCCATTACCAAAACAAGTCACCTTTACTGGGCTGCAACCATTACTAGTCCCAGCCACCTCTGCTGGCCTGTCATCATTACCAGCTCCTGCCACTTCTGTTAGCCTGCCATCATTACCATCTCCCACCACCTCTGTCGTACTGCCATTGCCACGATTAACAGATTATTTCAACTCTGCTGACCTGCTGATGAACCATTACAAGTTCCTGCCACCTTTCCATCCTGCCATCATTACCAGTGCTCAAGTTGCTTACATACAGTCCAGCTGCTGTATAAGATTTGTGGCTATTGTTTCTGCTTTGTCTCCCCCTTTTACATTGTGGACTAATAAGATTGTTTGCGTACTGTCCAGCTACTGTATATTATTTATTGCAATTGTCTGTGACATATACACACATTTTTATTTCATGAAAAAAAGACAACAACCTTGTTTCATCCAGTTTTTTTACTGTCAATACAAGCAGTGTCTAGCCACTCTACAATATACTTGGCTATTGAGTCTGAAATAATGCACTCTGATTTTTTTTTTTTTTAGGATAAAAACTAGCCTTGTCTCTCCATTTTCTATTACAAGCTGTTTACATGTTGTCCATCCCTGAACAATATTTGTGGCTATTTTCTCTCAGGAAATCCACTCTAATT